GATTATAATTGTTGTTTATTTCATAAATTATGGTTTCATATTTTTAATTTTGTAATTTCTGCATGCCATCTTACCAGATTTAAACTGATGATCTATAATCCGGAAAAATCCCTAATCCGGAATCGCCGAAGTCCCGACGAGTCCGGATTACCGATTTTGTACTGTATGTACACACACACACACACACAGATAGAGTGTAACTAAAGAAAAGTTGTTTGCTTTTTTTTTTGTTTTGTATTTTTCCTTCTAGATTTACAGTCCCTTAAAGATAAAAAACATTTCTTGAAATTAACTAACTTTATGACATTATTTGTAGCAGGAGCTGGAGCACAATCAATTTGAAATTTTATTTTTTTTTTATCTTTCATTCCTATTATACTGCTCATCAAAATAAAGGGATGTTGACTGAAATAAAAATTCACTGCTACATATAGAAAAATGATTATAACCAATTTGTACAAAAACACTGCATAACATAAATTAACATAACTGCCGAGTTGAGTGATTTCAAAGTACTGGAGTTAGGTCAAAAGTATAGGGAAATAAGCTTTGCTGTTTTATAACAAATCTTTCTTCAATATGGTACTATATTCACATCTAACAGAAATGCAATATTTTTGCATTTATTTCAGAGAATTACACAAGTACAGGCAAAAGCTAGGCTAGCCGTTCTGTAGTACCAGAGCTGATTGATATTCTGGGTTGAAACTAGCTACGCCTGCACCCCAGTTTTGGGGTGTAAAGCCTGTATGCCAGTTTTGAGGGAGAACACTCCAGGCTGCTGTAAAAGAGTCTCCTACCCTCTTCCCATCTTCGCCACCAACATCTTGAGAGGACTTTCAGCTCACCATGTATTTTGAATGCCCCCTTGCCAAACAGACACTGTATGCTTCCAAACACTCATGCATTCTCCAGGATTCGAACCTGGGCCCATCATGGCAGTCATGGCCACTGACCACAATATTGGCTAGGCATTAGAGAATTTAACAAACTGTTGATAAAGTCTTCTGGAACAGTTTGCCACTTTTCTGAAAATTCGAAAAATTCATTTTTCAGATAATGTATTGTAGGTCAAAGCACTGGCACACTGAAATTTCGTAAACTACAGCAACCCACACAGACACTATCTGGCCAAAAGTATATGAACACCCATTGGTACAGACTTGGAGAGTCCCTGAGGCATATATTAATATGATGTTCATCCACTTTTGCATCGATGACAGCCTGCACATGTCTGGGGAGAATTTCCACCAGCTTTTGATAGGTAGCTATAGGAATTGATTTCCAGGGGTCCATCACAGCTGAAGTGAAAGCTGGCAGTAAGGATGGTCGATTTGGCTGGTTACATAAATATGTTCTAATTCATCCCAAAGGTGTCCTATGAGATTGGGCGCTTGGGGTGCCGAGAAAGCCAGTCCAGTTTTTGAACACCCATTTTGACAAACCATGGCTGCACAACTCTCGTATGAATGGAGCAGTTATCCTGCTGGAAGAAAAATGGGTCTTCTCTGAAATATTGCCATGGAGCTGGGAGAGCAACACTGTCCAGAATGTCCCCATACATCTCAGAGTTCATGTTTCCAACCACAGGAAATAAGGGACTCAGGGCAAACCATGAAAAAACACCAAGATGCTGCCACCAGCAAACTTTATAGTTAGCACAATGCAGTTATTTAAGAAGCACTCGCTGGGCATTCACCAAAGTTAGAAGAGTCCATCGGACTGCCAGATTGTAAAAGTGAGATTCATAACTCCAAAGAAAATTTTTCCGCATGTCCATAGTCCAATGACGGTGCATTTTGCACCACTGCAATTGAATCTTCAAATTCTGGGAAAGGGAGTGATTTTTGGCTTGTGAGTGTCTGCATGACTGTAGAAATCCAGGTTTTTTTAACTCTTGATGAACAGTCCTGCTGCCAGCACTAACACCTCATGAAGTTTGGAACTCCTGAGTGATTTCAACCAATGAGGATTTGGGATTTTGTTTCACTACCCTTCTTAGAGTTCTACGACTTAGAGTTCAAATCTTTTGTTTGGGTCTGCCATTTCATGCTTCTGCAGTTTCACTGCCTCAACATGTCAACTTACCAATTACACCACTCAGTGGATTTTTGGCTTCAGTAGAATGTCCGAAATTTCACAAACTGATTTTCGACAAAGGTGGCTACCGCAATCAAAGTCCCTCTGACACTAGTTTTTGGTTATGTATAAAATCACATCACCTGCCAAATCCACTTATTTAGGGGGTGTCCAGATACTTTTGGCCAGATAGTGTACTCAGTTAAGTTTAAACGAGTAAGCTGGCAAATCTATTTGAGTGATATTTGTTTCTAAGTATTCTGATACTACAGATGCTTAATATGGATGAGCATAGTCATCCATTAGCAGAAACATCTAGAACAATGGCACTTCTAAACAGTCTTACATGGAGTTTGAAACTTCACAGCTCAGTACAGCCATTTTTGATCAGCCATCATTGCAAACCATGGTACTGCTTCCATGGAAACAGGATCTTTCATGATGAAAGGAAAGCAGATTGTATGTTCGTCAGACCAGAATCACAGTTCCAGTTATATCTGAACTCATCAGTAAACTGCACATGGCCTGATTCCTCTTGCTTCATTGAAGATGATAAAAATACCACCTTAAGCACATTAAGATGAAGTGAATGGGACACAAACCATTAGTTTTCTTGCATAAAATCCGAAATCATGAAGGCTTCATTCAGCTGTAAAATGATTAACTTGAGTTTCTGTAAAAAAGGTTAGCTTTAAATATGTTCTAGGCTCATAGATGGCATCAGTTTTTACATACTTCTATAACTGTGTAAACCAATAAAACTTCACTTGTGTTCCAAACTCACAAAAGGTAAATTGTGTATTATTTATTTTTATGCATGTAAGTAACCACTCTCTGCTATATTGAGTTTCTAACAAATTCTGTGGCAACCTTAAACTTTAAAACCAATTCTTCTAGAGTCACTTTATGCTTTTTTGAGTTAGAATGGCACAAAACTGTCGTAAGATACTGTTGTTGGTCTTATGCACCCTTGACCAGGCTGCCTACAAACTGATTACCTGCTTAATCCCTTTGGCCCTGCTGGTGGCATTTTTTACATTCATATGTAGAGGTTTATTTTATTGGTAGCATAATAAGAACCACAATAGTTCAGATTGTTGAATGGATTAATTAGAATTCACTACATCAATTGCAAAAAAGTCTAGTATTTTCTAGATTCACTGTCAACACACTATCAAGATGAGGTACACTGCAATCAGGGATCACAGTTATTCCAGCAAAACAAAGCTCCATGCAATTCCTATATATGATGTAAGATATGACAACATTAGACACAGGTCAATACATGAAGATGAGCACGAACAACACTGTATACTGGAAACTTACAAAAGACATTCTAGAATCCAGTGTGAAACACGTAATGTGCCACTCTGTTTAATAAAAACTAAAACTTATTTTAAAAGATATCATGTACAATAAATGTTAATAATATAATCAATAATTATATTTTTATAAGGTAGCAATTGCCACAACATCCTAGTTTCCACAACTCAAGTAAGAACTTGTCAATATGCTGCAAGGGAGTTCTGCTAACACCTATAAACGCTATTTTACAGACTTTTTTTTTTTTTTTTTTAAATTCCACAGCTGAAAAAGTTAGAAAGGCAGTACTAAGTACTTGATATGACACTTTAAAGGATACTCAGATCTCAGGAGACCTCCATTTGTGTCTATCCCCGCTCAGTTTACCAATTAACTGCCAGTTTTGTCCTTCATTTAAATTATGCCAATGAATCATAACTAATGAATACTCAACACTCTCAGACACCACATGTACCTTAAACAATACTATACACCTAAATTCCTACACACATCCTTTGTGCAACATATTTCATACACTAAACTATATTCAGAAGTCCAATTTTGCAGTCAGTAGCATAAATAATTACAGCATTATGTACTAATTGAAAACATTAATAAGTGAACATATTTTCACAGATTATCCATTAATTTTTATCAGCAGTGTTTGTGCATATATATTTATTTATATTTATCCCTGTTATATATGTGTGTGTTTGCAGTTATAATATAATTTTACATTTCATAAGATCTCTTTATTAAATATACCAGGTGACCAGAAATTGATAATTTATTGAAATAAATAAACTATTCTCACATCAAAGTAAACAGCAGTAAACAGACCAAGCAAGAAGAACAAAGAAAATGCAAAATTTCCCTAATGCGCAAAGAATATTACAGAAACACCAGCATATATCAAACTGACTGACACAGCAAAGTCTAAATGAATAATCACTGAACAAATGTTTAATACAGCTACTGAACTAAATAATTGAATTAACTTAATTTCAACCACTTGTAGTGTTTTATTTATAGAATTCTACAAAGGAAATGATAAACACCTCAGCATACTTTGAGAAAAATCACTCATAGGTTTTCACAAAATGCATTTATCAGAACCATTTAGAATGTCGCCAAACCCCTATGGGAAAGACTCATCCACATCTGTTTCTAATTAAGCTAACTGCACAATTCAAATGTAGATTGATTCAAAATTAATAGATTCATAACCCAACACGTGAAATATACACTTACACACACATAAGTTACCACAAAGTCGATTAAACAAATATATACAATCAAATTATTTATAAAGTGCACTAAATAAAAAACAAATAATTACATAAAAACAATACATAATACTATAAAAATGCACTAAACCTAAATTACAAACAGGTAAAACAAAAATTTATAATATATATTCACACAAGCAATGCAACTACACTTTTGCCACCAAATAATTGTTAATAAGTCAAAAACGAGCAGTGATTAATATATGTCATCATCAGGTTATAGCACTGTACCATTGTTGCTTGTGTTGGTCAAGATCTAATTATGATTATGTGAATTTGTAATAAATTAGTCCACGAAAGTCACACAAAAATGCAAGATTTTTTACAAACCATATTTATCTGGTGGTTGCCCACTGGCAATCAGGCTGTCACAAAGTTGCAATATTTTCGGCACTGAAATAATTGGTTTCGAATGATAACGTTCATAGGAAAGAAGTATTAAAAAATAGAAGATTCGAGGTATCAGAATATCAGCATTCCTGAAAGCAAAATACATACATTTATGATTAACTTTAGTAGTACTATGAACTTCAATTGATAATGAATATAAAGAATCTATCAAATTTGAAATAATAATTTTAAAAAGTTGCACATATTAACTATGTGACAAAAAGTTAACTTACGCTATTTGTCCTTCCTCTATGAACTCAAATTGCTTAATAACATAATGAATAAATATCTGGTCAGCATCAAGGAGACAGTAATTAACTCTTAATTGAACTAACTGAGCAAGCAAATCAAGCACTTGGCATTGAAGAGTGACATCACTAGATATTGTATACTGTTGAAGTGCCTGAAAACATAAATATGATTGAAAAAAATATAATCATAAGAAATTAAAATCACATTTTGGAAAAATATTTACTAATGTGGTAAAAAGATACAGTATTTTGTGAAAAGGTGTTAAAATATTAAGCAACTGAGAATTCTAATTAGTTCCAAATGGCAATTAACTAACCACTAAATGTTTGTCCTCACAAGTGGAAACTTCTCTTCAATTTTCAGTGTGTTTGTTTAAGAACATGCTCATTGTTATTCCATTAGCTTTGACATACTTGTATTTTCTTTAAGCATCTGAGATTTGTCAAATAACAAAATGGAAACTATCAACTTTTTCTCATATTCATATTCATGGAACATTGTTGAAAATCGAGGTCATTCTGAAATTACATACTACTAAAGAAAATATATCATGGAAGCAAGGCACTGAAAACGCAGACAAACAGCTCAAAAATGGTTCAGAAGACACCAAATCCCATTTACAACCAGCATATTATTCATTTATTGCTGCTGAAAGGAATTAACATAAAACACATTTTGCAAGAAAAAGTCTACAGGTAAATAAAACTATCATAGAAAAAATAATTACCTTTGAGGAATTTGTACACTTATCTTACCAAATGGGATAAAAGGACTCAAATTCTTGGTATACAAATCAAATACTCAGTATTCATATCATCACCCCAAGGTTGTGATTACCAACCCAACCCAGATATGTATCCCTTAATATTAAGAAAAAACATGCAGCTAGCTCATTACAAATGATAAATAAAATCTTCTATTTACCAAAACCTTTGGAGTTAAAATTAGTATTTTATGTAATAAAAATACATTCAATTCTATTCATGCCTTCCAAGGAAAAATTTATTGAATTATTGCATACATATGCTACAGTTCTGGAGATTAAAACTGCTACATCATGAAGGTAGAGCAAACCAAATTTACATGAAAGGTAGAACATGCTGGGATACACAAATGATTAGCATTCCACAGCAAGTGAATATTGTTTTTTGTGTTGTAGGTCATTTTTATAAGAAGAAGTAACTCATATTACATCTTAGAATTTGATAGCAGAATAATTGTATACATCAGATTATTATACTGTACAGCTGAGGCCTGTATTAATCAAGATCTAATGATGGTTATATGAATTTATAGTCCAGATGAGATTACAGATAAGTCCAGGAGGGGCACACAAAATAAAATGAAAGAGTTAATTGCTCCTCAATCAAAAACAACCAAAAATGATCTGCATCACTGATTAGAGATTGCAAGCCGCATCACATACTCTCAGTCCAGAAACAGCATATGTTGTTTAATACCAAGTTTTTCCACATATCTTGCAATAGCTGCAATTGCGCAGATGCTCAGCAAGGTGACCATTGCTATGGCTTCCCTTGCCACTACAGCACAGGAATCAATGCTCACAATGGCACACTCAATATCACATATGGATATAATACTGGGATAACACCACTTTTCCTGATAAATGCTGCTTTTGTTTACAGCACTACGATTGTTGTATCCATCTGTTGTAGCACTGGGGGCAGGGAAATGAAAGTTCGATGCTTGTATTCATCACCACACTGGTTCAGCATTTGCATTGAAAGCATGAATTTCTATTGGATACACATCCCACTTATCTCTAGCCTCCATATCTGGGATACTGACCAGCTAAAGATTATATCACTAAAATTTAATGCCCATGGCCGAGACATCTTTGGGCCATCGTCACCCCCCTCTTTCAGTGGGAAAATGTAAGACTGCATGTTGCCCAGCCAGTCTTATGCTTTCTCAATACGGAAGATGTTCAGCTCTTGTATATTATTACCCAGTATATTATTATCCAGATTTCTTATCAGGTGAAGATGCCTAGTCAATAGTTGCACAGAAACTGACATGAAAATACTTGCCACTCAGTACAACAGATGAACATGGCCATAGAACTGAAACCACATGGATCACAATGTTCAAAATCCCAACTTAAGTCACTTCATCTCCACATCCAGTTGTAATAACAGCTGATATTGTTGCCAGAAGCAGATGTTCTAAATTTTGCATTTTCAAAATTATCAGAAATTTTAATCATTTCATTTTTCTGTTATAACGTATTTATAAAAGATATATGATTCTGCTAACTATTTTCCTTCATGGTATGGTTTTCTTTATGGCCAGCAGTACATTATTTATTTATCATTATAATCTAAGCACAAACCAAAATTCATTTATAGCATTCATTTATCAGATCCAAACCCTTTCTAATGAACAAAAAGGAAAGGTTAGATACTCATTATTATTGTAACCAATTCTCACATCATGAACACAAAATAAATAAGACCAAATTTTAGGCAATCTCAACATTCACTAAACTGGTCCAACTAAACCTATCATTAACTGGAAATGGTTATGTTCAGCTACTTGGAGAACACTTGCAGCCATTCATGGACTTCATGTCCCAAACAATGATGGAAATTTTTTATGGATCACAATGTGCCATGCTACCAGGCCACAACTGTTCACAATTAGTTTGAAGAACATTCTGGACAATTCCAGTGAATGATTTAGCCACCTAGACCACCTGACATAAATCCCATCTAACATTTATGGGACATAATCAAGCAGTTAGTTTGTGCACAGATAACACTTTCGAAATTATGGACAGGCAACATGGGTCAATATTTCTGCAGGGGTCTTCCAGCGACTTGTTGTATCCATGCCATGTGGAGTTGCTGCACTTCGCTGGGCAAAAGGAGGTATGAAACAATATTAGGTGGTATCCCGTGACTTTTGTCACCTCAGTGTAATTCTTAATATTTTCATTTTCATAAGAAATAATAAAACAAACTACTACTAACAAGACATTGACATAGAAAAGAAAAAAAAAATACCTAGAAAGATAGTATATTATGTTAAAGTGATTCAATATTTAAAAGGAATGCTAAATTATTTAAAAAAATTAGTAATAAATTCTTGCTTAAAAAATGTTTTTGAGAAACAGTTATAGACCAAAAACTTTCAAATTAATCTTCTGCGCGAACTTCAGTACAAATGTAAAGGTTGCAAAGTTCATTGATTCAGACAAGGTAAATAAAAGCTATCTGTCTAATGGATGCTTTTGTGGAGAATTTTCCCCAGGAAATTGACCCATATTTTTATCAAACATGGGCAAAATAATGAAAACTCCAAGCAGCTAGCTGTTTTAAAATATTTGAACCTTGCCTGACCTATACAATTGGTACACTCTAAACGTGATTTTATTCACTTAGCCACCAGTGGGCCTATGTCTGCACAGGGAATTGATAATTAATAGATGAAGTCAAGTGCTCCCAACTACAAAAATACTAACACAGTTCCAGATAATTTTGCTCTTTTGTACAGAAGCTGGTTTCATTTACAGAATATGACTATCAGTGACATTCAGTACCATTACTTAACTACATTCAGAAATATGGGCGACTTTCAGAAGTGGTTGCTGTGACCAATTTTGCAGTATATTTATTTAATCTTTTAGAAATTAGTTTATATTTTCACATGTAATCTGTTGTCAGAAATTCCAAGAAATGCACAGCAGTTAGAAGTTAGGCAGTAGTAGTAACCCTAAAAACAGTAAATAAACTCACCACTGAAAACATTTTCTGCACAGACAAAACAATAAGAACTACCATTTAAATCAATCAGTATGATACTGGAAATACAGATAACTTCTCTGTTACCATGGATGCAGAGTAATGCAAACACTGATCACAACAGTATTTTGATGATTGGAGAGTAGTTTATAAAGTCAGCTTTTGTTAAAGTATTCATTAGTGCCTTTTCTCAGATTTTGACAACAAATTGACTAATTCTACTGGATTTGACTAATTCTTTTCCCCTTCAACTTTTTCTTTTTAGAAAAAAGTCACAGAGAGGTAAATTTAATGAGCAGACAAAATAAAGAGCACCTTTCATATTATCGCATACCAAAAATAACACCCACACCTGTGAACAATCCCTTTCACATTTAGTTCATTTATTGTTTCATGGACATATGCCTTAAAACAATTCTGCAACTTTTCAGACAGCAATTTTCAGTCTGTGATATTTTAGGATGATTTCACACAGGACATCCAGAATGATAATCATCTTCAATTGACATTCAGCCATTTTTGTTATGGTTAAGTACATGTTGGCTAGTATTTAGGAAAGTGTCTTCATCGAAAGTTTGCTGAACCATTTTTCGAGTTTTTGATATAATACTACCATGTTTATAACAAAATTTAAAGAATACTCAATTTAAAGCATGCTTTTCTTTCACATGTTTAGAAATGTCCAAATATAAAAAGTATTCAGAACACACCAAACTCAATGTAAATAACAAAACTTTGCAAGAAAACTAATATAGGATGATTGCTTTGATTTATTTAACTGAGTCAAAGCAAGTGAGGACTATTTACATAAGGCAAAGGATGCCTCTGTGGAGACTTGAAACTGGCTCATATCCATGCTACACATGAGGAAAAGCATGAAAATTAACCTGAATGAGCAGAAATTGAACATGAGTAAAATTATCAATATTTAGAGATTTTACCATTCGGCCACTAGTAAGCCCTTACATAAGTTGAAATTAACACAAAGGCCTCATTTAACTTATTTAAAAACATTGCATACATAACCTTTCTGTCTAGTAAATAAGAAAAAATGACTGGCAAGCCGTTTTAATATCTCCATGAACTTTTGGGTAGCACTTCTTGTGCTGTACATTAACATAATAAAGTAGAATCATGAATACCCTCAATGTGTTATTCTACTACTATAAGCAAACACTGTTAGTATTACATAAAACATGAGCACAATGGTATATAATTTAAATTTAAACAAAATCCAGCATTGGATTCATATTGCCCTTTAAAGAATATTTTATGCTTTTTTAGGAAGAGAAGCATGGAGTCCTTTTCTTTCAGAAAGCAAAATTAAACTACTGGCTACTAAAACTGCAATGTTCAGAAGCACAAAAGACAACAAAAACACATTACA